TCCCTCCTTTTTCTATCTTTCCCTCTCCCTCTCTCTCTTCTCCTCCCCCCCTCCTTTTTTCCTTCCTCTTCCTTCCTTCCCTCCCTCCCTTCCCTCCTTTTTCCATCTTTCCCCCTCTCCCTCCCTCTCTTCTCCTCCCTCCCTTCCTTCCCTCCTTTTTCCATCTTTCCCCACCTCCCTCCCTCTCTTCTCCTCCCTCCCCCCTTTCCTCCCTCCGTCCCTCTGTCCCTCCCTTCCCTGCTAAGCCTACCTCGATGCACCAGGCCTTCATCCCACCCTCCCTCCCTGCCCTTTGATTGCTATTCTAACCCTCTGATTTGGAAGGACAATGTCCCCCTGGGAGCAGTCAGAACAGAGGGCAGCCCACCGCCTTTGTTGCCCAGCAGGCTTCTTCCTCCTGGCCCCCCTACATTTCCAGGAATGCCTGCTTTACGCAGAATCTAATCCAGATTTGCTCATTCAAAGCTTGAATTCACGCCTTTCCTTCCATCGAGAGCAAACAAGCCATCTCACAGCCCAGAATTGTGTGTGAATCCAGACCCAATGAACATCTAATGTTCTTCCTAAGCAGAAACTGGATCCTGGTTCCCTAGTCCAGAGGTTGGCAACTCGTGACTCTGGAGCCGTATGTGGCTCTTTCATCCCTCTGCTGTGGCTCCCTACCGCGTCTGTCAGGGCTCCGGTAGTTACCCCCTCTAGCCAGATTTTCAAACTTAAAGATTTATTAGGAGTAAACCTGCCGGCGCTGCCAGGATGTAGCCAACTCTGAGACACATCATTCATTGTCACCCTTGACCATGGTTTTTCTCCCACCCCCTGGGTGTATCATAATTCATATTCTCCAATGGGACATGTCCATAGCCCAGAGTCATCAATCATACTCTCCAGTTAGAATTTTGGAAGTTTGGCTCGAGACTCATGATTTAAATGGGGGTAACTGCCAGAATCCTGATAGCTAGCTAGCCACCGCCGAGACACATAATTCATTGAGACACATATATTTCGTTGTTTGGTGGATCCCGACTCATGGTAGTCCACCATTGGTTATTTTCATAGCCAGAGAGGCTGCTCAAGGAATTTCATAAGGCAGGCAGGCAGACAGACAGACAGACAGACAGATTCCCAACTTACTTCATTGGCTTGAACAAGGCCTGTCCATAATTCTGGAATGTCATGATGAGTTTGAGCTGGGTTCCTCCCGACTTCATGGCTAGGGAAAGAAAACAGGAGGAAAAGTTTCAGGGGAAAACAAAAACCCATAAAACTGCACCATATGGTTTGGCTGACACCTAGTAACGTTAACGGAGAAATTACCCATCTGTGGAGATACGTTTATTTATGTTGCAATCAGTATAAAAGGAGAAAAAGGAAGAATGGACGGAAACTGAACCAGGAGAGACGCGGCCTGAAAATAAGGAGAAATTTTCTGACAGTGAGAACAATCCACTGATGGAACAGAAGTTGCCTTTGGAAGTTGTGGGAGCTTCATCCCTGGAAGCTTTCAAGAAGAAACTGGACTGCCATCTGTCAGAAATGGTGTAGGGCCGTGATGGCGAGCCCACATTTGTGTGGACGTGCAAGCCCCAGACTAACTTACCTGCACTGCAGTCTCAGGAGGCCAAAAAACGGACCTTCCGGAAATACCAGAACTGCCGAAACGGGCCCGTTTTTCGGCCTCCAAAGACTGCAGAGGCTTCCCTTGAGCCCCCGGGAGGGCGAAAATGGCCTCAAATGGGCCAAAAATCAGCTGGGAGGTATGTGCATGTGCAGCATAGGTAAAAGGGTGGGGTGGAAAGGGGGGTGTTGCGTGCGCATGCTCAGGGGGGCGCATTGTATTGCGGGTACTGACACGCAGGTGCTTTCAGCACACCCCAACAAAAAAGGTTTGCCATCATTGGTGTCATGTCTCCTGCTTGGGCAGGGGGTTAGACTAGAGGACCTACAAGGCCCCTTCCAACTCTGTTCATCTATTAAAGGTCTTCGAGGTTGCAAAATGTCTTCCAAGGAAAACCAAGTCCAGTTGCCTTTGGAAAAAGCGCTTTCGGGCCTTCTCTGTGACAGCCCCTCAAGTCCTGGAGGACAGCTATCCTGTCCCCCCACCCAGGGGAGGGGATTAAAATTGATTTACCGCTGGTTCGGCATGGCTCGGTGGGCATGTTTTGCCTGATGCGCACAAGCAGCTTTTCCGCCTCTCAGCTGATCGTCGGCTGTTTTTTAGCCAAACCGGTCCAAACCAGTAGCATACCATCACTGCCCCACCTCACCCCAATCCTTCTGGGATGTTCATAGCAAGAGACAAAAATGTCAAGACAGCATCTGTGACCAATATCTGATTACCATAATACAGGTTAAAAAAAAAAAAGGTGTGGAACACGAATCACACACACACACATGCACAAACACACCCCAAAAAAGGAAAGAAAGGCTTAAAATCTGAAATCCGGCCAGTTTATTTTGCATCCTGATTTGCTTTAGACTTCACCCCCTTTCCTTTTGCCCATTTTATCTCACCCTCAAACTGCAGCTATTAGCTATACATTCCTTTAATTACTCCTTCTGGTGTAATCTTTTTTTTTTTTCCCATGCTATAAAATGTTATGCAAATTTGGTCCATTTAATTACTCTTCAGCTCCGGGGGGAAAAAAAAAAGAGAGAGAGAGAGCAAAAGAAAGAACTTCCAGCTTTGGGGGGTTTTTTTTCTTTTTTTTTTTGCTGATCCCAGCTTTCTCTCACATTTTACTCAACTTCTCCTACGGGAAAAAAAAAAACGAAATTAGAAATTAAAGGCCGTCCAGCAATCTGTGCTGAAAACGGCCTGGACGGAGCATGGAGATTTCCTATATTAGATTAAGCTGATGTGCCGAGTAGGCTAATTTTTTGGGTGCGGGGAAGGCTAGACAAACGCACCATCAATCTTTTCCTTTCTTTTTTTTTTCTTTTTGAAAGAAAACAACAACTCCAGGAGTTTGCTAGGTTTGACTCTTAGCTCTCTGGCAAATTCACAGTCGCTTGGAGCACTGGCTCAGTTCTGCCTTCATCCCTGAGACATGCACAAAAAATAGATTAGACATTAAAAAAACATGATAGAGCACACTCGGCGGGTGGAGTTGCTAGAACATGTTTCCAGCCTTCTCGGAAAATGTAAGAGGTGGCCTCGTTTTTCAACCGGAGTTGACTGAACAGGCAGCAAAGTTTGGGAGAGGTGGAGGAGAGAGGCGGGGGAGGGGTCCACCCCAGGGGCAGCTCCAAGTAGCTGCCAAAGCTCCCTGAGAACCCAACACAGATGGCCAACATCAACCTTAGGGCTTCTGTCCCCGCCCCCCAAGTCTGAATCAGCCAAGGGACAACTGAGGTCGTCTTGGAAGCAACTTGGAGAGGGAAGCGGGAACGGCCTTGCGGAAAAGATAGAAGAGTTACTACATGAGAAAACTTCTTAGACAAGAGCAATGACGATAGCAATAACATTTAGGCTTATATGCCACCCCATAGCACTTTCAACAGAGGTGGTCTTCAGCCGGTTCTGACCAGTTCTGGAGAACCGGTAGTGGAAATTTTGAGTCGTTCAGAGAACCGGTAAATCCCACCTCTGACTGGCCCCACCCTCATCTCTTCTCTGCTTCCCGAGTCCCAGCTGATCGGCTGGGTCTTCTTTGGTTGCCCTGCACAGGAGAACGGAGCTGGAAAGCAGGTTAGTGGGCTGGGGAGGGAATGGGGATTTTGCAGTATATCCTTCCCCTGGAGTGGGGTGGAATAGAGATTTTGCAGTATCCTTCCCCTGCCATGCCCACCAAGCCACACCCGCCAAGCTATGCCACACCCACCAAGCCAACAGGTAGCAAAAAAAAAAAAATTGAATGCCACCACTGAGTTTAAAGCAATCCCTGGGTAGTTTACAACATAGAAGCATCTTTCTCCCAACAATCTGGTTCCTCATTTTACCAACATCGGAAAGACGGAAGGTTGAGTCAATCTTCAGTTCCGTCAGGATCAAACTCCAGGCTGTGGCCAGAGTTTGCCTGCGATGCTGGACTTTAACTATTGTACCACCACAGCTCTTCTAGGAAGACGGGCACCAAGAGTCCCTACGGGTCACTAAAAAAAAAACCTTAATTTTCATGAAGATAAAGGGAGGAAGGACGCACATTCAGACTTGCAAGATTCGCTACTGGTACACCTTGATGTACAACTGTTTGCTTTACAGTTGTTCCAAGTTAGCCTGGAACTCCCTAGAGACATTTTTAGACTTACAACGACCACAGAACCCCGAAGTTCACATGATCACTGGGCTCGAACCAGCTCACCTTTACAGCTATTTGCAACATCTGCAGTTGCGTGATCACAATCTGTGACTTTTTTTTTTGCTGGTTTCTGGCTGTGACTTCCTGTTTCCAGCAAAAAAAGAAAATAAGAAAAAGCCCAATGGGGAAAATTTGTTTAACAACTGCAGCATTCACTTAACAAGCATTGTAAAAACAGCTGTAAATTCAAATCTGGTCGTCCGAATGCTTCGAATTATGATGTCTTACGGCTGTCATTCCAGGCCGAATGAGGGTTGTAAGTCAAGGCGGACATGCGTTGTTGTACCGTAAAAGCGATTTGACCTTCATGACATTGAATTCCAAGTTTGATCTCCCTGAAGGGTTGAATGGCCATTTAGAGGATTTCCGCCAAGATCCAGGAATGGTGGTAAACTGGCACATTCTGGGATGACTGACACTTCCACAGCCGAGCTGTTATTAGAGATGTTTTCATGCCTGCAGCCAACCGGGATCATATATTCTGATTTATTTTTATTTGCTATGTTAAGCACTTTGAGGTCATCCATCAAACGGGGCCTCCTAATGAGTTAGGCCCATTATCATTCACCCAGTAACCAATCCTCTCTCTTTCTCCTGGAAGTTAATGGGTTGCTTGTGCTACCATCTACCCAAGTAACTCAGAAACCCTCTGGGGATACTTAAAAAGAGAAAAACCCAAACGAGAGGCGAATCTGAATGGAAAGCCGAGTTGAAATCGCTAAGCTTGAAATCCAAAAATAAAGAGAGAAGAAAACCAACTTAAGGCACAAATTACGGTCATAAATTAGCATCAAAAACTCCTTCAGTTGCTCATGTGCAACCTAATAAAACTAGGAATGCTGATGTCAACTTATGTAAAAGGTGGAAATTTTTCTAGGTCAAAAAGGGGATATATAGAGTGGTGGGATTCAGCCAGTTTGCACCTCTCCAGGAGAACCGGTTGTTGAGTTTCTGAGCAGTTTGGTGAACTGATCGTTGGAACAAATCATTAGGGCAGAGAACTTTAATTAAAAGAGAACTTTTAATTGTTAAATTATTTGAATCCCACTGCTGGGTATATAGCTAAGATAAACACAGAATAATAGAGTTGGAAGGGACTTTGGAGGTCTTCAGGTCCAACCCCAGGGACATCCTAGACCATTTCGGACAACTGGCTGTCCAGCCTCTTATTAAAAGCCTCCAGTGTTGGAGCATAGTACAACTTCTGGAGACAAGTTGTTCCACTGGTTAATTGTCCTCACCGTTAAGAAATTTCTCCTCCGTTCCAAGTTGGATCTCTCCATTGAACCTGCACGATCTGGGAAGTGTGAGATGACTCAAAGAAGAATGCAAGGGCAGGGTAGCAGAATATAATTAAAGGCTTGGCTCATAACCGGGGAGAGTCGTGGAAAACACTCCACCGTGCAATGCTGAAACTCTTCCAGCATTCTTTTCAGCCGAAAGGAGCAAAAGAGGTAAAAAGTCAGCTGAAATTCAGATTCCTTCTTCTTAATGAGCTTTTCCTCTGCAGAACTTGATCTCGCCTGATCTTGGTGGAAGTTTGTCATTTGCTTGGGTTAATCATCGTGTAAGATGGCCTCACCTCATTTCTGTTTTCCATTCACTTGGCACGGGGGGGGGGGCTGCTGAGATGCCTACAGATTAAAAGGATCATTTGCATCTTTATGGGATTTCAGGATGGCGTAAACAGTCCTGGATAATCTTTAGCCTGAGTTAATCATACATACCGGGGCCCTCTAAAGTTATGTGGTGTGTGTGTGTGTGTGTGTGTGTGTGTAGAGAGAGGGAGGGAGGGAGAGAGAGAGGGAGAGAGGGGAGGCACCCAGATTAGCCTAAAGTTCAAGATTTAAATTCAAATGAATAGACAACAGAATAACCGAAGGGACTTGGTGATCAGGAAAGTATAGGCAGGAAAGCCTGTACTATTTCAGGTAACCAGCTATCCAGGTGTGCTTAAAAACCGACAGTGATGGAGAACCCACAACTTCTGGTTTCTTGCTTTCACCATCCGGAAATTTCTCCTTGGTTCTAGGTTGGATCCCTCCTTGATCAGTTTCTATTCTAATCTCAAAAATAGGCCCTGTCCAATTGAGTTTTATATCCAGATGTTTATCAGCCATTTCGAGACCCTTCCACTTCTTTCGTAATCTAAAGAAAGTGGAGTCAATCAGTAAATCCATCCATCCATCCATCAATAATATTTATTCAGTCAATGACCCGCAAAATGTAACATTTATTCGGCTAGTGGTCAGCATGTTATTGTATTTATTTGCTTCGCTCCGTTTTTGCTTTTTCAAATGTTGCCCTCCATCCAATGGGCTTCGCCTTTTTAAAGGGAAATAGTTAACATCATATGGTTTTGCTTTTCTGACAGTGGTGGGATGGATGATGAACCTCTAATTCCTGTGCTGATAAGACATTAGATTCCAGAATGTGCAACGTTTCAACTCGAAGATGTGACTCCAAGCCAATTTCCTTGATTCGCTGCATCAAATCAGCTTTTCTAACAGTAACATCTAATCAACAGGTTGGGATAAATGCCTTTCAATCAATCTGACAGTCCCGAAGATCGCTTTACTTCTCTCTCTCTCTCATCAAGTTTTCAAATCAAATCAAAGCTCTGACTTGACTTATGAACTGATGTGAAAATACTAGAGTGGCGCTGAGCTACATCTTTCGATCGGGATTCTAGCTCAAATCTCAGGAAAGACTTGGGTGGAAAAGAGTAAGCAAGAGGTGTGTGTAAAATGCCTACTTTATCTGCCTATGGAGGTTCTCAGACATCCAGTTTTAAAGGTGCTTTTTCAACAAGCAACTGGGCTTTGTTTTTCCTTGAAGACTATTCCAAGAAGGTTCCACACCTATTTTGTACTATCCAGCTGATCCTGAGGGCCCAGATAAACCTCCAAGTGGCCTCAATGATTCTCAGAGAGAGTGCTAAAGACCAGATGACTACAAAAAATATAAATCCTTCCATCCTTCACCGTTCGGTCAGAATTGAAGAAGTTTCTGGGATAAGAAACGAGATGTCTTTCAAGGAAAAGCAAAGAAAGTCCAGTTGCCTCTTGGAAAAAAAAAAACACCTTTGGGACATGCCTAGTTTATCATTCAGAAAATCTCAACTTCGTATCTGAACATCAGAAGCAGAAACAAATCATATTTCTCTACTTCCACCGCCAAACGTTTTCTGCATCTAGAAAAGACGAACACCAAGGACAGAATTACAATCAGACTCTTCTTATTTAAGAACTGTTAGAGTGCTATAAAAGGGAGAAATCAATGTAGAATTCTTACTTGAAACACAAATGACCAGGCTCACACAATCTTACTTTCGGCACATTATGCAATGACCCAGATCTCTGAAGAAAGATCTGATGCTAAGAAAGATGGAAGGAAGAAGAAGGGAAAAAAAGATCAACAGCACGGTGGGTGGACACAGCTACAGCTGCCATGAGTGAACTGTTGGAAGATCCGAAGGACCAAGTTAGGGAAGATTGTAATCAAGAGAATCCATTGATGTGGTTGCTAAGAGTTGACCACAACTTAATGACACCTAATCAATACAACAAGAGGAAAAAGAAAGGAATAGTAGAAGAAACCACCTCCAAAAGGATAATTAATCTAGTTAGCTCAATGCTGATGAAGCACATGGTGCTAAGTTATCACATGGTATGTCTAGTTTTGGTTTAGTAAAATGTGAGAACGTGGGACTTTTGGCCTGCAAAGGCCTAAGTTCTAGTCTCTCCGCTAGCAATAGCAATAGCCCTTAGACTTATATACCGCTTTACAGTGCTTTTACAGTCCTCTCTAAGCGGTTTACAGAGTCGGCCTCTTGTCCCCAACAGTCTGGATCTTCATCTTATCCACCTCGGAAGGACGGAAGGCTGAGTCAACCTTGAGCCTGGTGAGATTTGAACTGCCAAATTGCAGGCAGCCATCACAAGCAATACTGTACCACCACACTGCGCTACCACGGCTGAAGATTCTAGTCCTTGTGATTCTGAATCAAAGATTAAAACAAGAACATGGATAATTCCCTTCTCCTAGGTCAACCTCTTTCTTCATTTTGCCCATAATTACCAGCCAATATTAGCAACTGTTCTGCAGGATTTCAGACAGGACTTTTCTCCAGCCTTGGACCAAATTGTAGGACTACTTCATGAGAAGAAGCTGGATGACCTAAACATTCATCATGTCACCTGTAGAACATTTAAGTCATCCAACCTTTTCTGGACTCATTTTCTGGATGTTCTCCCAGATAATATCCAATATTTGAGCGGCTGCCACAGAGAGAAGGAGGGGGTCAAGCTATTCTCCGAAGCCCCTGAAAGCCAGACAAGGAACAATGGATGCAAACTGATCAAGGAGAGATTCAACCTGAAAATAAGGAGGAATTTCCTAACAGTGAGAACAATCAATCCATAGGACAGAAGTTGCCTTCAGAAGTTGTGGAAGCTTCATCCCTGGAAGCTTTCAAGAAGAGACTAGACTGCCATCTGTCAGAAATAGTGTAGAGTCTCCTGCTTGGGCAGTGGGGGTTGGACTAGATGACCTACAAGGTCTGCATAATGGTCTATGCAAAGTCCTCATCCTTCCCATAACTCTACAGTACCTTTTTAAAAAAAATTACACGACCCACCCAAGCGGAAAGTGCTTGAGATGTTAGAAATGAACTGATTCCATTTATGGGCTCATTCTGGCCAGGTAGGACGATAAAAGAAGACTTGCAGACAATGCCATTCCTTAGGAATCAAGGGTGATCCTCCTAATTTTAATAAGGAAAAAGGAGCGCCTGGAATTATTAACATGTTGCGTCTTGATGCTGTGTACCATGCAGAGCTTCTAATTAAGGAGCTTGTTGGCTCACGCAGGTGGCATTATTAGAGATGCAAATTTTCAACTGCACAAAGAAAATGGCTAATTATGGTCACTTCTGTACTTTAGTTCTGTAATTAGAGGCACAAAACGCCCCTCACCTTTCCTTGAGCCAAGTCCTGCTTGCCTTTGGTTGAAACCTTGAAGAGATAATTAAACCTCTGAAGAGAGTCGTGCCGAGTGAAACAAAAAAATAATAAAAAAAAATGGAAAAATGGGTTTTACAAGGGACAGAAACATGTTCTAATCCTTCCAAAGTTCAATCTACTACAGGTTTGAGACGTGCTGTAGGGACGCGGTGGGTCAGTGGCTAAGACGCTGAGCTTGTCGATCAGAAAGGTCGGCAGTTCGGCAGTTCGAATCCCTAGCGCCGCATGACGGAGTGGGCTTCCGTCACTGGTCCCAGCTTCTGCCAACCTAACAGTTCGAAAGCACATTAAAAATGCAAGTAGAAAAATAGGGACCCCTTTGGTGGGAAGGTAACAGCAGGTGCCTTTGGCGTTCAGTCATACCGGCCACATGACCACGGAGACGTCTCTGGACAGCGCTGGCTCTTCGGCTTTGTTATAGAGATGAGCACCGCCCCCCTGGAGCCAGAAACGACTAGCATGTATGCGCGAAGGGAACCTTTACCTTCAACCTTACAGGATGGGGAGAATTTAGATTTAGACTAACTTCATTGTCACTTTGAATGTACACTCACCGGCGTACATTAAAAATGAAATTTCATTGCATGCAGCTCTCAAAAGGCTCGCCGCCTCCAATATACACTACATCAGGGGTCTCTAGCCTTGGCCGCTTGTGGACTTCAACTCCCAGAATTCTGTGGGTATGTGGAGAAACAAAACAACTCCACAAGGAGCAGCCAAAAATGTTGGAAATATTAAAAGACACCAGGCACCTTCTTTCATATGTGGTGGTTGTGCTCTAAAGCAAGGAAATTTTGGAACAAAATAAGGATTTGGCTGCAAGAAATAACTGGGGTAGGGGGTGGGGAATAGAACTTAAGCCTGAAATATTCCTATTAGGGATAATTCGAGGTGATGACAAGAAAGAAATTGAATATATAATAATACACATATTGACAGCAGCTAGAACAATGTATGCTCAAAACTGGAAATCAGAGACTAGTTCTATATGAATATGGAAAAGCCGATGCCACAACGTACTGCAAAAATTGTAAATATGATTTGTTTTTAAAATTGTAAAACTTTAATAAAATTATTTTTTTAAAAAAAAGAAGTGTAGACTTCAAGTCCCAGAATTCTGTGGGTACAAAACAACTCCACAAGGAGCAGCCAAAGGCATAGCGCTAAATAAAGAAGGCAGAATACCTGTTATATCCTGGAGATAAAGTGGAACATAGTTTAATGTGTTTGGCTTAGCCTTGAATGAAAACATGGGCGGGGCGAACTGCATTCTGCCAACTTCCATTTTAACTGAGACAGAAGCCCAGTAAACTTCATTCAGACACAGAGTTGACCTATAACTTATGGGTTGGCCTAATTAACCTCTGGTCACTCACCTTCACCTGCTTTCAGATGGGAATGTCACAATTCTGCAGGCCATGAGCTTAATGGCATTGAGAAATAGCACTGTTGGTCTAAGACAGGAGTCTCCAATTTTAAGACTTCTGGACTTCAACTCCCAGCATTCCTCAGCCAGGCTGACTGAGGAATTCTGGGAGCTGAAGTCCACAAGTTTTAAAGTGGCCAAATTTGGTAACCCGCCCCTCGTAGGTCAACTCTGTATCTGTATGAGGTTCTAAGACCAGAAGGAGAAACTCAACAGTTGCATTGCAAAGGGGGTGTGGCCAGAGGACCTAGGTGGAGCTAAGGGCCAAGGTGGGTGGGACAATGCATTAAAAAAAGACTCTAAATATCATAACTATAAATATAAACGTCACCGACGGTCAAATTCAACTCCTGCAAAAGAAGCATCTCCCAAGCCAGCCATAGAAGACACAGTTGCACCGACACACAGATGGCAACGGTAGTTGAAGCGGCAACCTACCAACACTGGTGATTTTCTGGGTAGCCAAATCGTGCAGCAAGGTGCCAATCGCTGGGTTGTGCCTGGAATACAGCTCGTACCGGTTAATGCTAATGTGGAATTTGAGCCAGTTTGGGTAGGAATCGACGGATGTTTCACCCGTGGGTAGGAAGTCCTCATCTTCGTTTTGCCTGCCAAAAACAAACAAGAAAGATACAATAGAGAAGGTTAGGTTTTGTTCACGGGCCAGCAACTGATTTTGTAATCCTTTGGGGACATGGATGCCAACCTAGTAAGATGTTCCAAATAGGTCAAGTGGCATTCTTCTCTACATTAGGAATCCAAGCGATAGACTGGGTTCAAGAGAGACCATGGTCAATCTCACTGTTTCTCATCCTTGGCAACCTTGGAAGATGGGTGGATGTCAATTCCCAGAATTTCTCAGTCAACCATGGTCTGTCTCACTGTTTCTCAACTTTGGAAGATGGGTGGATGTCAATTCCCAGAATTTCTGTCAACCATGGTCTGTCTCACTGTTTCTCAACCTTAGAAGATAGGTGGATGTCAATTCCCACAAGTCCTCAGCCAACCATGGTCTATCACCCTGTTTCTCAACCTTGGAAGATGGGTGGACATCAATCCCCAGAATTCCTCAGCCAATCTATCTCAACCTTGGCAACTTGAGGATGGATAGATGTCCAAAATTGAATTCTCTGAGTTAATGTCCCCACCATCTTCAAGTTGCCAAGATTGAGAAATGTTGGTCTGTCTGACCTAAGTGGCTCATGCTGATTGTTTGTTCATTATGGACCACCGCTTCTTCTACACTGCAACCACTACGTAGGGCTTTCCACCAACTGCACAAGGCAGCCCACCAGTCTCCTAGCAGATGTAGGAGGTAGTCACGCTACTATGAAGGCTTCTCCATCTCTCGAGTTTTTAAGAACACAGCCACTTCTCATGGGTGGTTGGACATGGTTTTGATGACCATCTAGGCTGAAGGCTGGCTAGTTGACCTTTAGCAACCGTCCAGCACCATAATTTTATGTCTCTATTTCTTCTCAACATACAGGAAGAACATTGCTCACTTATTTACAACTTACTCCATTCCCATTTGCAGTCTAATGAAGCTCAGCCCACTTCAGAAGAAGTTGTACGCCTGGACACCACCTTAAAATGTCAAGGAATACTTGCTAGAGGACCTGCAGGAAATGACCTCTTGCTAAACCTAGATGGGATTGTCTTGTAAGGGATTAAACTGGCATTAAGAAAAGGAACACAAGGAAGAAATAAGCAGCTGCCCCCAGACTAAGGTCCTTTCACCCGCAAGGAGCTGGAAGTCCTTGTGAAATCATTTCAGAGCCTCATGGTTTGCATTTCTCTTTAAAAAAAAAAAGATTAACAACCATCTCACCATTTCAGCTGCTTCGTGCCCTGCCAAGAGACTGTAAGCATGTTGGAAACAGAAGAGTCTCAGTTTCTTAGGAAGAGTAAACGATTATGTCAAAAACATTCATATTTGACAGCAGGCCAAGTACAGAGCAATCCAAATCTTTCTCTCTCTGTGTGCGTATGTTTACACTGAGACAGAAGCTCCTAACAACCCAACCCCAAACCTCAACCGTACCCTGGAGAACTCTGGTGGTCAGGAATCCTGAGAGGAACCCCTTTCAGGCAAGCGAGCAGCAGATGCGTTCACACGACAGGTCAAGTTGAGTGAGGGGTCCTTGGTGCTCTCTGAGCTTGGTTGCCAGGACTAGCCCTGATGATGTTACTTAGGTTGGGTGATGGAATGCTTGCAAGAAAATCACCAAGCTCAGAGAGCACCAAGGACCTCACAATTCTCCTTCTCTTTCTGCACTCCACAAATCCCACTCCATTTTAGCATCGATGAGGTTCCCTAGTTGGGTAATGAAACGTCTGCAAGAAAACACCAAGCTCAAGGACCACCAAGGACCCCACAACCATATTACTCCTCCTCCTCCTCCTCCTCCTCCTCCTCCTCCTCCTCCTCCTCCTCCTCCTCCTCCTCCTCCTCCTCCTCCTCCTCCTTCTAGCACTAATGTTGTTCCCTAGTTGGGTAATGAAACCACCAAGCTCAGAGAGCACCAAGGATATCTTATTTCAGCCTTTATTGGTAAGTTGGGTGAGATTTCATGTTGGTTAAGTTTCTCATCATCTTCTTCAGTGGTTTAAGATACTCTTTACAAAGACCTGCTCTTCTAGTTGAAGACGCAGCACATTTTGCAAAACCAGAAAATTGGTTTCTTTAGGGTGTGATAAGAATTTAGCCACAAACTTAAGCAATCCCTGTGCTTTTTTTTTTTTTTAAAGTGACCTTTGATACCTAACTTCCTATTTGCAAGGGGGAGTTAATATTTGACTGTTCTCTCCTTCCACCGGCTATTTTTTTACCTATGTCTATTTAACTTGGGAACAAGAGTTCACTTGGTTAGTTCTGGAATTTTAATGGCATTGTGTTGGAAAACTCCAAAGTATCTGTAGGAACCGACATACACCACAACCGGATGTGTAGTGTCATCCACATTACGGAGAGTGGGATGAAACAACTTACAAATATCACAAGAGATATTTGGAGGTGACTTGGAAGTTATATCAGGTAGAGAATGTGGTGGCCACATTGCCTGAGGCAACCCCAGTTTGACATCACTGGATTGACTGCTATCCTGCTTCTGAGTCCAGCTCAAAGAGTTGGTTAGGTACCCATTAAGGCCATAGACACCACAGCAATAAGTTATATCAAAAACCACCTTGCCAAATGTGACTCAGCTCCTCCAGTCTGAACATCTAGAGAAGATCTTCTGAGGGTTCCACCTCACAGGAGCTACATGGTCTCTGACTCAGGGTTCGGTCTTTTCAGTGGAATCCTCCACACTGTGGAATATACCCTGCCCCATGGAGACATGCTCAGTTCTGATGCTCCCCGTATTTCAGAGGGAAGTGATGCTCACGCATCACTTTAACCTATGAGGCTGGTAGACAACCATCAATTTATTGCATTGGGTTGTATCTGTGTCAGCTTTATCAGATAGACCAGACAGGAAACAGGACCAGATAAGCTAATTCTAATTTATTGTAAAGCTATGTTAACAGAACCTTGCAAGTCTGAAAACACAATTTCCCCCTCCACACCAGTGGTGGGATTCAGATTTTTTTTTGCTACCGGTTCTGTGGGCGTGGCAGGGGAAGGATACTGTAAAATCTCCAGTCAGAGGTGGGATTTACTGGTTCTCTGAACTACTCAAAATTCCCTCTACTGGTTCTCCAGAACTGGTCAGAACCTGCTGAAGACCACCTCTGTTGTTGTAGTGACGAGGCAGTCAAGTTGTCTGATCATGAACAACTGAATCATGATCATCTTTATTGGAGTCTAGTCTTGCATTTATACACATTTTTAATTATCCTCCATCATTGGTTAACTTTTGTTACTGCTTAACTTTCATTACTGTTTAGCACAGTAATTAATTATCTCTAGTTAAAGTCTAACATGTGTTTACTTCCTCTCTCTAATCCTCCTTTAGATTAGTGACTTTGTTTACCTGAGTTGTATTTGCTTGGAAACATTCTTTATCTGAGGTTGGCCATCCGAGATTGGAACGTTCCTGCAATTACAACTCTACACTCTGTCCCACTCCCTTTACAGCACAGGAAACTAGTTTCTCTACCCATTATGCAGCTTGGGCTATGCTGTCTCTTCTTTCATCAGTCCTTGGGCAGCATCTCCTTATCTTCCAAGACTTTCTCGGACACCATTATAATCTGGAAGATGTTGAATTTACATTTTACCAACAAAGAAAGAAAGGGAGACTAGGATAGATCGATTACAAGCTATTTAGCTCTCGTCAACTAGCCATAACCTTTCTGGGATTCAAACCCAGGCAGAAACAGGATGCTCCATCCCATATTTGGTTGCCCTGATAGACCGGTCTCACCGGAAAAAAGCACTTAATCTGGAAGGTGGATTTTTTGCTTCTGATATTGTTTGGGATTTGATTCTATCGGTATCCATCATCCAAATTGGGAGAGATTAAAAATACAGGTAGCCCTTGGTTTATGACCACAATTGAGCCCAACATTTCCGCTGTTATGTGAGAGCTTTGCTTCATTTTATGCCCTTCTTTGCCATCATTGTTAAGTGAATCACCGCAGTCGTTAAGTTAGTAACATGGTTGTGGAGTGAATCTGGCTTCCCCATGGATTTTGCTTGTCAGAAAGTATCAAAAAGGGGAGAATTGCATGGCCTGGGGACACTGCAACCGTCATAAATATGAACCCAGTGCCTGAATTTTGATCCCGTGACCGTGGGAATGCTGCAACGGACGTATGTGTGAAAACTGGCTGCGAGTCAATGTTTCGGTGCCAATGTAACTTCAAACGGTCACTCGAGGACTGGCTGAAAGCTGAGGAGTATCTATACTACACCAATCAGGGGTGTCAAACTCAAGGCCCATGGAGTGCTTAGATCTGGCCCATGAGGCTTCCCCCAAAACAGTGAAGGACCGGCCCATAGTAACTCCATAAGCAAAAATGGAGACCGAGAGGCCCTCCCAATAGAGGTGGTATTCAGCCGGTTCTGACCAGTTCTGGAGAACCAATAGCAGAAATTTGGAATAGTTTGGCGAACCGGCCAATACCACCTAGGACTGGCTCTGCCCCCATCTCTCCTCTCCCTCCCAAGTCCCAGCAGATTGGCTGGGTCTTCTTTTGTTGCCCCACACAGGAGAATGGAACTGGAAAGCAGGCTAGTGAGGAAATGGAGATTTTGCAGTATCCTTCCCCTGCCATGCCCACCAAGCTATGCTCATCAAGCCACACCCACCACACCCACCAAGCCACGCCCACAGAACCGGTAGTAAAAAAAAAAATGAATCCCACCACTGTCTCCTGAGCTCCGTTTTCAGCTGCCATGGCCTGCAATTATCTGCCAGCGAAAACAGATGTTGATTTTCGCTGGCAGAGCACCTGGGTCACCACAGGTGCCTCGGACATGAGTGACGTCGAGATGGCCATGCTCATCTGTCCGTTCCCCCCCCATCTTCCTCGAGGTCAAACACAACCCTGACGCGGCCCTCAATGAAATCGAGTTGGACACCCCTGACACAAGTGAACTAACTAAATAAAACGCCACCTGTTGTTTCCGAACATTTACCAAATCGCCAAAGGAATTGCG